AAAGATTTCCCACTTCTTTCAGATTATAAAAGCAGTATTCTAAAAAGATATCATTGGTATGTGAATTTTAACTTTCATTTCCAAGGGCTAACAGAATAACACTTCATCTGGTTATTCCAATTAGGTGACAGGTAACTTGCTAATCTCTATTTGCTGTAGTATCCACTGTGCCATACAATTGGTTTTATTCTTACACGGAACCTTTCATTATGTTGTTGTTGTTATGTGTCATCAAGTCAGTTTTGCATCAAAGCAACCCTGTGTACAACAGGATGAAACACTGCCTCCTCCTGGACCAGTCTCACAGTTCTTACATTTGAGCCCATTATTAGCAGCCACTCTGTTAATCCATCTCATTGAGAGTTTTCTTCTTTATTGCTGATCATCTACTTTACCAAGCAAGATATTCTTTTTCCAGGAACTGGTCCTTCCTGATAATATGCACAAGTACAAGAGACAAAGAGTCTCACTACCATTGCATCTAAGGACCAATCCAGCCATACTTTTTCCAAAACGGATTTTGTCATTTTTCTGTCAGTCCATGTTACTTTCAGTCTTCTTCACCAACACCATAATTCACATGCATCGATTCTTCTCTGATCTTCCTTATTCATTGTTCAGTTTGTATATTCATATGAGGTGATTGAAAATATCAAGGCTTTGTTCAGGCACACCTTAGTCTTCAAAATGACATCTTTGCTCTTTAACATTTTAAAGAGGTTTTTTGCAGTAGATTTGTCCAGTGAAATGTGTTGTTTGATTTCTTGATTACTGCTTCCATGAATGTTGATTGTGGATGTAAGTAAAATGAAATCCCTGACAGCGTCACAATTTAAACTGTTTAATACGATGTTATTTACTGGTCCAGTTATGAGGACTTTTGTTTTCTTTACATTGAGGTGCAATCCATACTGAAGGCTGTAGTGTTTGATCTTCATCAGTAAGTGCCTTCAAATCCCTCGCTTTCAGCAAGCAAGGTTGTGTCATGTGCATATTGTGACTGTTAATGAGTGGTCCTTCAGTCCTGATGTTATGTACTTTATATAGTCCAGTTTCTGTGATTATTTACTCAGATACAGATTGAATAAGTATGGTGAAAGGGTACAACCCTGATGTACACCTTTCTTGATTTTAAACCATTTGGTATTCTCTTGGTCTATGTACAAGTTCTACATGAGCATAATTAAGTGTTCTGGAATCCCATTCTTCACAGTATTAACCATAGTTTTGTTATGACCCACACAATTGAATACCTTTGCATAGCCAATAAATTACAAGGAAACATCTTTCTGGTATTCTCTGCTGTCACTCAAGATCTGCGTGATGTCAATGATATCTCTCATTCCACGTTCTTTTCTGAATCGGCTTGAATTTCTGGCAGGTAGCTGTCAAAGTACTGCTGCAACTGTTTTTAAATTATCTTCAGCAAAAGTTTATTTATATGTGATATTGATGATATTGTTAGGTAATTTCTGAATTCTATTGGGTCACCTCTCTTTCGAATGGACACAAATATGGTTCTCCTCCAATCAGTTGTCCATGTAGCTGTCTTCCAAATTTCTTGGCATAGATGAGTGAGCCCCTCCAGCACTGCATCAGTTTGTTGAAACATTTCTATTTGTATTTTGTCAATCCTGGAGCTTTGCTTTTCACTAGTTCCTTCATGGTAGCATCAGTACTATCGGTTCTAGATCACATGTTCTCTAAATTGTTGAATATCTATCACTTTTTGGTACAGTGGTTGTGTATATTCCTTCCATTTTATTTTGATACTTACTGCATCATTCATTATTTTGCACTTAGAATCCTTCAGTATTGCAACTTGAATTATTTTTTTCTTTTCAGTTTTGTCAGCTTGAGAAATGCTGAGCATGTTCTTTTCTTTTTTTTTTAAATTTTGTAATACTTTGTCTTCTCTAGCTGTTCTTTGAAATTTTCTGTTCAGCTGTTTTGCTTCATTGTGTCTTACATTCACTTTAGCTTCTCTACGTTCAAGAGTCAAGTAACGGAGTCTCTTCCAACAACCATTTTGATCTTTGCTTTCTTTCTTATTTTTTAAATGACCATTTGCTTCTTTCTTATATGATGTTCTTGATTTCATTCCACATCTCCTCCAGTCTTTGGTCATTAGTATGTCCAGTGAGTCAAATCTATTCTTCAGGTGGTCTCTAAATTCAGATGGAATATAATTAATGAAGGTCACGTTTTGGCTTTCATGGACTTGTTTTAATTTTCTTCAGCTTCAGCCTGAACTTGCATAGGTAGCAATTGATACTTTGTTCCACCGTGTGCCCCTGGTGGTGTTTTCATTGATGATATCGAGCTTCTCCATTGTCTCTCCCCACAGATGTAGTCAGTCTGGTTCCGGTGTATTCCATTTGGTGAGGTTCCCGTGTAGAGTCACTGTTTATATTGTAAAAAATAAAATTTTGCAATGAAGAAGTAACTGATCTTACAGAATTCTATAATGTGCTCTTCAGTGTTATTTTTATCATCAGGACCATATTTTCCAGCTACCAGTTTCCAACTTTTGCATTCCAATCAGCAGTAATCATCAATGCCTCTTGATTGCATGATTGACCAATTTCAGGCTGAAAAAGCTTGTAGAATTCTTCATCAGTGACTTTAGTGGTTGGTGGCTAAATTTGAATAATAGTGGTTTTAGCTGGTCTTCCTTGGAGGTTCATGGATATTATCCTATCACACATAGCATTGTCCTTCCAGATAAATCTTGCAATGTTTTGGATTTTTTCTGACAATGAATACAACTGAATTCCTCTTGCATTTGTCATTCCCAGCATTGTTGTTAATTGCCGCTAAGTTAGTTCAGACTCATAATGACCCTGTCCAGTGTTTCCAGCTGGTGGCTTTGCGTCACCGACCCTGCAGTTCAAACCAACTTTGTGGTCCAATGCAGTATCCTGCAGCACCTCATCAGGATGTCATTTCCAGTGTAGTAAATCATACTGATTGTCCGATTCAAACTGTCCAGTACCAGTCCATTTCAGCTCACTAATGTGTAGAATTTCTATCTGTATTGACCTGTAATAATTCTATCATTACCTTACAAATACTATGTGTTTTTTTCAGATACTACCGTATCTTTTAGTTAAAAGATTACATTTCACTTCCTCCCTTAAATGTTCCTTGACTATAGACCGTCTTTACCCCTCTTTTTTTTTTTTTTTTTTTACTGTATCTCCATTCTTAGTGTCTGTAAAATATGAACAAGCATATCCTTAGATAGTATCTAATAATTTGAAACTTGATTCAACATTGTTTTATCTGAGGCTTCTTTACCCATCTGTAAAATCCCTCCAAAATAAGTTTCTTTCTTTTACCCAGGCCTTTAAACTGGTTCTTCACAGTTCAGTCATGGCCGACAGAGTAAAGCCAGTACAGACCTCAATTTGTAAAATGTGGGTGAAACAGTCACAATATGCACTGTTCAGAACCTTGCTAGAAACTTAGTCTTCCTCTTAGTAAACAAGAGCAGCTGTGCGCTACATACCAACCATATTTCTTGACTGTTAGAGTGGGAAACATTGGTGCCCAGCTAAAAAAAACAGTGGCTGACGGCACCACTTTGAATGTGTGATGCTCTCCATAGACCTGACAGTAATCTAGTCCCCCCTCATCAGGCTTCTGCCAGGGCTCACTGCTCATCTTCTGAGTCTCCCGTTCCAGGGCTTTGGCTTGTTGTTTTTCCTGTTTTGGTTATCATTCTACTTCTCCCCAAAATTTAAAATCTGGTATGTTCTAATTTCATTTCATTGGCCATGACTGCACCAGTTCAAAACCCTGCTTTTACCTTTCCATACTGTAGCTTGTAACAGAGGTTTGGTATTTATTAGTTACATCATTGATTGTCTATGATACCATTCAGCGCAGACATCTTTCTCATCTGTTCTGTGGTACCTGCTGAGATTACCTCCCTTCACCTCCAATAACAGTGCATTAATGTGTAATCAGAAGGATTTAAAAATATATAGTCAATAAAATATTAACTTACAAGAGCATAAATTTTCATTTGGAAATCAATATTTAAAAAATTGAGCATTTTATATAGAATATTTATGGAAAATACAAGGTTGTTGGAAGATTTATTGAAATGAATGGTCCAACCCCATAATTATTTTCCTGTTTCACACAAATTAAGACATTGAATAATAGAAAAAAATATGTGAAGTCTTTTGGAAAAATTTAATTTTACTATATCCCTGAAAGTGTTTGAGGTTTGCAAGTATACTTTACCTTTTGTTTTCCTTTATATTCCAAATTGGAATATGTGTTCCCTTTCAAGAGAAAATAAATCCCAGCTATATAGAGTTAGGGCCTAGACTATTGACTTGTGTTTCTCTAAATACTTGGAAACAAGCTTTTGAGAATGTTTGTTTGCTATGAATAGAGTGAGTGGAAGTGAGAAAGAAATAATTGAAAGCAGTTTATGAGTGATTTAGGCATTAGGAGTTAGAATATCGGCTGTTAGCAACACCTCAATAATTTTCTTTATATTACTTACTGTTTAATAATGTATCAGTCGTTCCCTAGCAGGAATAGTGCCTCTTTGACCTTCCTTTGTCTTTTTCTCACTTACCTGTGTTTATTACATGTTCTCAGTTATAGCTTATATTTGTAATATGTCAAAGACCTGAGTTTTTTTTTTTAAGAAATAAACTTTTGTGGTTTTTTAAACGTTTTTATTGTGAATTGAGTGATAGTTTACATAGGATAACATCGGTTTTACACTCATTGTTTCATTGCAATGATCACAGTCGACCTGAGTGTTTTTGCATGTGCCAGCTTCTCCTAATTTTAACATTGAAACAGAGTTTATGTTTATGTGTTGCCCTTTTTTCCCTACCATGAGATAATTTGTTTTAATCTTTTTGTAGATCACAGCACCTGGATGGTTAATTTCACATAGAATATTGTATCTAAATCCAGTCCATCTCAAATATATGAAACTTCACCATGTTCTTAACTGTATTCTCTTCTAGAAGAAGATGGGAAAACTGGAGATGTTTTAGTGAAGTTCAGAGAATACCAAGACAAGCATTCCAGATCAGGTATATTCATCAATCACAGAAAACTAATTAAAGAAAGAAGTAATGTTTATGGGAAAACATTTACACTAGGTAAGAACCGTATTATTTCAAAAACACTATGTGAATATAAAACTGATTTGAAAAATATTTCAGAATTAGTCATTAGAAATATAAACCCTGTAAGAGAGAAGTTTGGTGAGAGTAATGGATGGGAGAAATCACTCCTCAATACCAAGCATGAGAAAATCCATCCTACAGTAATTCTCCATAAACAAACAGAGAGGAGTCTCAGTTGTAAACAAGAGATTATTCAACATCAGAAGGTCCGAACTCCAGAGCAATTATTTGAGTATAATGAATGTGAAAAATCCCTCCTTATGAAAGGAATGTTACTTACACATACTAGAGTTCACAGAAGTGGAAGACCATTTGAATATGATAAAGATGGACTATCGTTCATCCAGAAGTCAAATATTGATGTTCATCCACAGACGCTTATGGAAAAGAAACCTTATGCATACAGTAAATTTGGGAAATTTATCTGCAGGAAGTCTGTTTTTATAAGGCATGAGAGATCTCAAACAATAGAGAGACCCTTTCAGTGTCATCATTGTGGGAATAGCTTTAGGAGGAAGTCATACCTCATCGAACATCAGAGAATTCACACAGGTGAGAAACCTTATGTTTGTAGTCAATGTGGAAAGGCCTTCCGTCAGAAGACAGCTCTAACACTTCATGAGAAAACACACATAGAAGGAAAACCCTATATTTGTATTGATTGTGGGAAATCCTTCCGCCAGAAGGCAACCCTCACGAGACATCACAAAACACATACGGGGGAGAAAGCCTATGAATGTAGTCAATGTGGGAGTGCCTTTAGAAAGAAATCATACCTTATTGATCATCAGAGAACTCATACAGGAGAGAAACCATACCAATGTAATGAATGTGGGAAGGCATTTATTCAGAAGACAACTCTCACTGTACATCAGAGAACTCACACAGGAGAGAAACCCTATATTTGTAGTGAATGTGGAAAATCCTTTTGCCAAAAGACAACGCTCACTCTCCATCAGAGAATTCATACAGGAGAAAAACCCTACGTTTGTAGTGAATGTGGGAAGTCTTTTCGCCAGAAGGCAATACTCACTGTTCATCAACGAATACATACAGGAGAGAAATCCAATGGATGTTCTCAATGTGGGAAAGCCTTTAGTAGGAAGTCTAACCTCATTCGCCATCAGAAAACTCACACAGGAGAGAAACCATATGAATGTAAAGAATGTGGGAAATTCTTCAGTTGTAAGTCAAACCTCATTGTTCATCAGAAAACTCATAAGGAGAAACTGGAAATAAAGTAAATGATATATTTTTGGTAAAAAATTTTAAGTCATGGTAAACCCTATGCACTGTGTTTATAATACTTCACAGTTAAAGTTACTGTACCATATATTTCTCTGCTTTTGCTAGTCTATGTAACCCAAAAAATGAGTTACTAGAAAAGTTAAATGACAAAAGTCATTGGAAATGATAAGCCAGATTTTTAATATTAGATAAAGCAGACAGATTTCTTCTTTCAAATTGCTATAAACATTTAAAACATTCAGTATATATCTTCTTGTGAACTAATAATAAATGGCTGACTGGTACTGGTGGAAGTGTGCACTATATTTCTCACTGCAATATGAAATAAAAATTAGTTGTTGCATCCAAAGTTAATCCTAGTCCTGTCTTCTAATATTATAAATTATATTATGAAGCTATATAAATCAGAAAATACATTATGTAAAAGCTTTCCTGGTGGCAAAATGGTTAAACATTCAGCTAACAGGTTGGCACTTTGAACCCACCCAGCCTCTCCATGGGAGGAAGACTTGGTGATCTGCTTCTATAAAGACGCCAGCTTAGGAAACTCTATTAGGTGTTCTTCTCTGTCACTTCAGGTAGCTATGAGTCAACACAGACTTAGTGGCACTTAACCTTATATACTTTTTCATATATATATGAATGCTGTGTTTTGATCATTATTGCATGCAGAAGAAGTTCATTTATGCTTATATATCGAATTCCATTGTATGATCATATCATAATTTATCCCTTCTATTATTGAGTTTTTACTGTTTACAGCAAAGGGTCATAATAAATTATGCTTCTGTGAACATATTTGTCTTTGGGCAAATACATATATGCATTTCTCTTGTGTATATGCCTAATAGTGAAATTGCTGAGTCCTAGGGCATATGTACGGATCCCTAGTAATACGTTGTTGTACGGATCCCTAGTAATATAGTGGGTTTCAAATTGGGCTACAAACCTTAAGGTCAGCAGTTAGAACCTATCAGCTGCTTCATGGGACAAAGCTTTCTGCTCCTGTCAAGATTTACAGCTTTGGAAATCCTAGGCAGCATCAGTATGAGTCAGTGTCAACTCGATGACAGGAGGTTTGGGATTGAGGACAAATTTATGTTCAGTTACTGCAACAATAATTCTGGAAGGATCAGCATTAGGCTGGCCCCCATGAGGTGGAGATTAAAGACATCACAAATGTCTGACTTTCCTAAAGTGCTATGTTTTTGTTGTTAAGTGCAATAGAGTCGGTTCCGACCCATAGTGACCCAGTATAGGGTTTCCAAGGAGCAGCTGGTGGGCTTGAGCCGCTGACCTTGCAGTTCAAACAGTTTTGCAGTCTGGCACATTAACCCACAGTGCCACACCAGGACTCCCATAAACCCACCACTCCTCCCCTCAGTATTCTCCACGCACCAGATTTCTGTAATTCTCTGTAACGTGTCACAGAACTGTCAGAGAAATGGCTCGCACAGTTGTGGAGGCTGGCCAATCCCAGCTCTGTAGATCAGATGTCAGTCTGGAGGGTTCTCCTCACTCACACAGAATTAGGACTGTTGACTCTCAAGGCTGTGGAAGGTGGCACATCAGATCAGGCTGCTGGCTCAAGTCTCAAGAACTGGAGGTCAGACAGAAGCATCCTTGGTTAGCCAAGCAAAGGAGCACATGGCACACATCACCAGGATGGCTCATTTTATACACAGCAGGGTGGCAAGCTTGACCAAGCCCCTTGTTAGATGTCCACATTTTTACTATCACTCACAACTGAACCATATAACTCTATCAACCAACGTCTTTCCACACCTTCTCTTACCCAGAGTCATCAGAAAAAAAGCTGTTTGGTGGGAGTGATAAAGACATAGCCAGAAGAGCTATATTAAATAATTTACTGCATTGCAGTTAGTTTTGATCCATTGCCAAACAACTTACAACTTCCACACCATAAGTCACTGTGAGTAGGAAACAACTGTGAACATTATCAAGATGGTGGTGGTTCAAATCAGGGATTATGGATATAATATATCTTCTTGTTGTTAAGTGCCTTGGAGTCTGTTTCGACTCATAGTGACCCTGTATAGAGTTTCTGAGGCTCTAAATCTTTTGTGGGAGCACACCACCTTATCTGTCTCTCGCAGAGCAGTTAGTGGGTTTAAACCACCAACCTTGTGATCCGCAGTCCAGTGCGTATCCAAGGGAGCCGCTGCACTCCCATAATACATGTTGTTGTTGTTGTTATGTGCCGTGGAGTCTGTTCCGACTCACAGAGACCCTGTACAGGGTTTCCGAGGGTGTAAATCTTTACGGGAGCAGAAAGTCTCATCTTTCTCTCACGGAACAGCTGGTAGTTTCCAACTGCTGACCGTGAGATTCGCAGCCTGATTCGTAACCACTAGGCCACCAGAGCTCCTTTATAATACATGTAGAAAGGCTTTATTTTTTAAACCACAGTCCAACCTTATATAATCCCACGCACATGTAATGAATGGGGGATTGACTTTAGTCACAATTAATGCCTTCAATGAAATTTGAAATCTCATACTAGAGATACCGAGGATCTTCCTTGTTCAACGTGAGAGTATCTCCCTTGCCCAACATCAGAGAATTCTAACAAGAGAAAAACCATGAGTATAATGAAGGGGGATAGCCTTTAACAATGGTCTATATCTTACTGGTCATGTAAAAATAATAACTATAGAAAGGCCTATAACCATACTTCACTCTTTATGCAACATTAAGTAATTTATACTAAAGAAAGGAAGATCAAAAAGAGAACATATGAGACTTGGAACTCTGACTCTGGGAAAAGCCAACGCCCTGAAAAGTCCAATCAGACTGAGACTATAATGCCAAAGAGTCCATGTGTAGTCACCATGGTCACTACCTCCAGCTGAGCTCCCAGCCATCACAGAGATAATGTTAGAACTTTTCCAATCCAACTGTAAATCACCTCTTACAAAAAATGGTTTCTGTATCTCTAGTGTAATTTCTGGTAATGTGTGTAGGTAAACAAGAAAGTTTTCTTATTCCTTGTCACCCCAATATCAAATAGTGCACAGTACAGCTCAAACCTGAAGCTTTTGTGCACATTGTCTAAATTGCCACCCAGTTTCAGAACAAGCAATCAATAAAGCCATGGTCTCCTACCTCACAAATAATAGCAAAAGCCATAGGCCTCAACTCTGGTCTTCATTCACCTGCGATGCTTTCAATTTTGAGATATTCATCAGTTCATCATCTGGGGCTTTTTTTTTTTTTTATGACATTCTGAAAAAGACAAAAACATAAAAGTAGAACTGATCAATGACCACCAGTGATTAGAAGTGGGAGAGATCTGATTACAAAGGTGATGCACAAAGGAATTTTTTGAAGAGCTGGAATTGTACTGTATCCTGTTTGTGGCTTCAAACATACACAAATCTATGCAGGTGTGAAAATTCATAAAACCAAAACAGTTGTGAATTATATTGCTTTTAATTTAAAAAAACAAAAACAAAACCCCTGGATATGTTCTCCAGCTTCACCATTATCAGAACTTGTTGGTTTATACCCCCACCAAAAGAAAAGGGATTTAAACTGACCCCTGATTTATATGTCCCGTAATCTGGACAATTTGGGCACACACATACATACAGTGGTCTTACTTACTTTGTCTCAGAGTTACTTCTTCCTCAAATAAACTCATCCACAACACAAAAGACATACTGGATTGGCCCATAAACTAAATGCCCAACCAGCTGATTGGCCTACCCAACAAAGCTCCAGACTTTATGTGTGTGGGGTGGGGTTGGAGAACATATTTCATTAATGAGCAAAAGCAAGTCAGATAGTCCCCAGCTTATAAATGAGATCCATTCCTAAAGTACTTCAAGTGGAATTTGTAAGGGAGACAGACCAACAGGTGCATGTGGTTCTTAGCCTTGCAAGAATCTTTTCATTGACTTGAAGACTGCATGTGTAGTGAGGGAAGGAGATTGTGTGAAAATTTTGTTATAAGGATTGTTCTAAGTAGATGGTATCAGAGTGAGGGCAAATTCATGTAACATTAAAGGCAAATAGGAGTTGTCCATAAATCAGATGCTTTGTAATCTGGAAACTGCTTGTATGAGTTTTGTATTTGGTTAGTTTTTCTCCAACAGACCACCAGCCAATGCACATACCATCAGTGCACATGTGATGGTTGGAAATGATGGTAAGTGGGAGCCCAATCCTACTCCTGCTCCTTTGTTCTCAGTGGCATATAACAGCTTGTTAATGAAGTGTCCTGATGTCATGTACTTCAAATAGTCCAGCTTCTCAGATTATTTGCTTATTATAATACAGGTCAAATAAGTATGGTGAAAGGATACAACCCTGACACACACGGTCCCTGATTTAAAACCACTTAGTATCGCTGGATCTGTTTGAATAACTGCCTCTTAGTCTTTGTACAGAGAGTCCTGGTGTGGCGCTTGGGTTAATGTGCTGGACTACAATGTCGGTTTGAACCACAAGTTCAGTGGTTCAAGCTCATCAGCCACTCCTCAGAAACCCTTACAGGGTGGCAATGGGTCAGAACTCACTCGATGGCACCTGACAACAACGAGTCTATGTACAAGGAGCTCTGGCAGCATAGTGGATCATGCATTGGGCTACTAACCACAGGTCAGCAGTTTGAATCCACCAGCTGCTCTGTGAGAGAAAGATGAGGTTTTCTGCTCCCGTAAGGATTTATAGCCTCAGCACCCTTATGCAGGGTCACTATGAGTCAGAACCAACTCGACGCCATGCAGCAGCGGTCTGTGTACAGGTTCTGCCCAAGCACAATTAAGTGTTCTGGAATTCTCCTTAAGCAGTGTTATCCATAGTTTGTTAAGATCCACGTAGTTAAATGCCTTTGCATACTCAATAAAACAAAGGTAAATATCTTTCTGGTATTCTTTGCTTTCAACCAAAATCTAACTGCTATGCATGAATTTCTGGCAGGTTCCTGTCAATGTACTGCTGAAACCATTTTTCCATTAGGGTCAGCAAAATT